GAATTACAGGCATGCACTACCACGCCCGGCTGATTTTTTGATTTATTGTAGAGATGAGGTCTCGCTGCCCAGGCGGGTCTCGAACCCGCGGATTCAGGCAATCCACTCACCTCAGCCTCCCAAAGGCGCGGGATTACAGGCTGAGCCACCGAACCCGGCTTTTAAACTGCACTTTAAAGAATGATTTATACTTTTTTTTTAAATAATTTTTTACACTGAATTTTTTTTGTTTCAGATCAGTTAGATAATGTCTCACATTCTAGCTTTGTCTCATCATTCTTCATGATTGAATTCAGGCTAAATATTTTTGGCAAGAATACTGTTTAGGTAATGTTTTATATTTCTCATTGCATCACATCAGAAAGTGCCTACTGTTGGCTTGTTAAAGTGCTGGTGATGCTAAGTTAAATCATTTAGATAAGGTGGCGATTGCCATATCTCTTAATTGTAACTGTACATTTCCTCCTTTGAAATTAATAATTTGTCTGTGGAATAGGTGTTATGCTGAGGCAGTATTAAGGTTTTCTTCTTCAATAACTTTACTTAATAGTTTAGCACTCATTTTTGATGCTTGCTTGAATCAATTATTATAATTGGAGTTTCAATACAACTTATTGACCAAGTGTTTATACACTTTTCATTTATTCATTTCACAAGTATTAATAGAAACAGATACCACATCAGGTTTTGTTCTAATCACCAAGAATACATGTGAACAATATCTGATGCGGTCCTTTGTGATGCTTACAATCTAGTGGGAGAAATTGACATTAATCAAATAATTGCACTGATGTGTTTTTATAAATAGCGATAAAATTTTTTCTTTTTTTGAGTTGGAATCCCACTCTGTCGTCCAGGCTGAAATGTAGTGGGCACACTCATGGCTACCACAGCCTCGACCTGCTGGGTTCAAGTGATCCTTCTGCCTAAGCCTTCCAAGTAGCTGGAACTGCAGGCACGTACCACCACGCCCGGCTAATTTTTTTCTGATTTATTGTGGAGACAAGTTCTCACCAAGTTGCCCAGGCTGGTCTTGAATCCCTGGGCCCAGATGATCCTCTTGCCTCAGGCTCCCAGAGTGTTGGGATTACAGGTGTGTGCCATCACACCCAGTGATAGTGTTAATTTTTTTTTTTTTTGAGGCTGGAGTGCAGTGGCATGCTCACGGCCACCTCAGATGAAGAATGACAAACTTCAATAACATGTTAAACTTCCAGAGTACTTATTCTATAGCACATGCCTGTTAATTTTATCTGACAAATTAGTCACATGATATCTCTTGCACTGAGTTGTTACCAAAATCGTTTGCTATTATATAAATTTTCTCACTTAGCATTGCTTACTTTATACCTAAATCATAAGCTTTTCAATGTTAGCGATGATGTCAGAGACTTGAATTGATCACTGTACATTGCTTACAGTAGATGTACAACAAATATTTTGTTCCAATTATTTGTTAATAATGTAAATGTAATGACCATGAAATGCTGTGAAGTATTGTAGGTATATATTGAATGTGCAGATCATGTGTTATGAGAAATTTACTTTGCTCTTAGCATTGACAGATTAAATGTATAGTCTTTATCACAATGAAATGACATGTATATGAAAATGATTTTGACCTGTAAATAATTAGACAAAAGGATAGATTGTAAAAAGCTGTTTTTAGATTATATTTGCTTACCTAAGCTTAAGTAACCTAATAGGAGCCAAGCAATAAATAAAAGTTGTCTAGGTTGGGCATGGTTACTTACACCTGTCATCCATCACCTTGGGATGCTGAGGTGACAGGATAACTTGAGCCCAGGAGTTCGAGACCAGCCTGAGCAACATGGCAATACCTTGTCTCTATAATAAATAAATAAATAAATAAATAAGCCAGGCTTGGTGGCTTGCACTTATAGTCCCTGCTCTGGGAAGGCTGAGGTGGAAGGATAGCCTGAGCCCAGGCAATTGAAGCTGCAGTGAGCCGTGATCATGCCACTACTCTGGACTGGGAGACAGAGTGAGACTCCAATAAAAAAAAAAAAAAAGTTGACTAAATTACTAATTATGGGGAAATACTTAAATAAGTCAGTTAAATTCCCTGAGCTTCTTTTAATATTTATAAAATGAGAGAAATATCACTGACACTAGTATATCCTGGAGAAGAAGAAACACTACCTTCATAAGTCAAAGAAATATCACCACTTTTTATATTTGACTTAACGTTTATGAAGGACAGAATATCACATTTCTGATTTTCTATTTCATGTTTTCCTTTTTCCTCAGCCTTTTTGGGGTAATTGTAATTTGACCTCCTTTCCTTATATATCAATAAGAAGCCAAACAGAATTTTCTGTTTGAAAAGAAGGTTTTGAGACATTAAGGAAATAGATAAGCATGGAGATCATGATAATGAATGAAAAAAATCAGACTAAGAAGTAGCATTTATTTAGAACTTAAGAGCACTTTTGGCATTCATTTAGGTAGTTGACACACCTAGGTTATATATCTAGACTCTAGAGGATGCTTTTGGATCTGTTAACACTAAGAAAGATTTAGAAATGGTACTTGAAAAGAAGAGATTTAAAAAGAATAACCAGACCTGGCGCGTTAGCTCACATCTGTAATCCCAGCACTTTGGGAGGCCAAGGTGAAGGGATTGCCTGAGCCCACGGATTCAAGAACAGCCTGGGCAACTTGGCAAGACCTCATCTCTAAAATAAATCAAAATTAGCTGGGCATGGTAGCACGTGCCTATAGTTCCAGCTTCTTGGAAGACTGAGGCAGAAGGATCGCCTGAGTCTAGCGGGTTAACGTTGGGGTGGCCTTGAGCGTGCCATTGCACTCCAGCCTGGGCGATGGGACTCCAACTCGAAAAAAAAAAAGAATAACCAGGTCAGAGTCATCATTAGCATTTTGGTTTTGGAACTAATCTCTCTCATCCCCATGCTTAAACTTTCCTGTCGTCTCCCATTTGAAAAAGATTCTGTAAGCTTTCTTTTATAATAGAAATGTAATTTTATACCAAACCAAATGATTCCTTTTCCAACATCTGAAATTTGTCTTTTGAAGCATGTCCTGGCACCAAGTCTGACTTTTGCATTTTGTTAATTGTCAGCTTACAGGTTTCTAGATTTATTAGTTTAAAGGTCTTATGGTATATGCAGTAGGATAACAGGTTTTATAGTTTACCCATTGTCTGAATAGATTTGTAAGAGATTTTTATCCTTGTATACTTAAGATTTATATATATATATATTTTTGGAGTTGGAGGTCTCACTCTGTTGTCCAGACTGGAGTGCAGTGGCGTGATCCTGGCTCACTGCAGCCTTGACCTCCTGGGCTCAGGTGATCCTTTGCCTCAGCTTCCCTAGTAGCTGGAACTATAGTCGTGTGCCACCAATCCTAGCTAATTTTTAAAATATTTTTAAAATTTATTTTTATTTATTTTAAAAATGTGAGGTACAATTCAGGATTAGGTAGTCATCATATAGGTAAAGTTTGGGCCTCCCTTTGGTCCCCACTTCGCCTGGTTTGAGATCAGCTACCATTATTCATATTATGTGCCTCTCCTCCCCTGGCAGTGTCCTGTTACTGCCAATTCCTTTCTTATAATACTTTTAAATTTTTTTTAGAGACGAGGTCTCCATATGTTGCCTAGGCTGATCTTGAACTCCTGGGCTCAAGCAGTTGTCTTGCTTCAGTCTCTCAAAGTGCTAGGATTATAGGCATGAGTTACCACACCCAGTCTATAAATTGTGTTTTAGTAATTCAAAATGTAATATAAATTTGATCTACTTTTTAGGTTTAAACAAGTCTCTTAAGTGGTGTCTTCTCACCGATGGAGAATTACTTCCAAGCAGAAGCTTACAACCTGGACAAGGTATTAGATGAATTTGAACAAAACGAAGGTGAGAATTTACATTGGTAAATTCAGAGAATGTGGGGATATAAGAGGATACAGTACTTTCAAAAAATAAAATCAAGTCTAATGATAATATTTAATAATATCTAGAAGAAGAAATAATATCTAGAAGAAGAAATATTTTTAGTACTGAATACCAGATACTTACATGGATTATACCATTTCATTTTTAATACAATCCCTTGAAAGTAGACCTTCTTATTGCCATTTTACAGATGAGACTGGAGGCACAGAGTGACTAAGCAACTTCACCAAAGTTACCTTGCTAACAAGTGGCAGGATTAGGACCCAGGCAGTGTGACAACAGAGCCTGAGTTTTACCTGCCCTGTACGATCAAGTCGTGGTCAAGAAAAACTTTAGAATGTGTGCTTGCATTTCCTGAACCAGGAAAAATTGCATATTGATTGCCCAGTAAAGCAAAGATACATTTTAAGCAGTTTACATTACAACTGCCAAATGGTTAATTAAATGATATATTTTCAAGCCTCAGTAGAAATGTCTGCTTAAGATTTACTTCATTTAGGGAAGGCTTTTCCCTAAATTCCTTTGATGTGAATGGATAAGCCGAAATTTAATATCTTCCACCACCCGACTTCCCACATGTTCTCTATTTCTAACAGGAAATGACATGTAACAAGTTTACAAAGTGATATGCTTCCATCTAAAGTCTGATTTTAGTTTTGGTCTCCAAACCTTCACTATATCCAGTGATTCAGGCTATTCTTTGATAGCAGTTGGGAAGAGAGATTCATTTTTATTTTGTTACTTTGGGTCTTTAATAGAGCAAGCCTGAATTCAAATACAGAATTATGAGAGTAAGGAGAGAAAAGGGAGAGGAAGGATATGGAAATGACTTGTTCTTCTCATTTTACCATTGATGACTTTATGCTAACCTGTATTCCTGGGCTCATTCCTGATTCATGTAAATATGAAATCTAATCATTTGGTATTTTATGGGATCCATGTGGGCTTTGTATATACCAAATTGGAAGGTACATTCTTTTCTGAGTTTCAGCCATTTATACAAGTCTTTTCTGAACCCTTTCTTTGGTTTAGCTTTCTATGTATCACAGTTATTTAAGTCATGAAATAGCTAGACAAATGTTAACACTTAAGCATGTTAACACTATGCTTCTGGAATACCACTGATTCTATTAGTTCATTACAGTAGTCTCTGTGACTCCTGTAGATTTCTAGTAGGGTGTTCTGTGTATTATAGTTTTTCAATACAATTTTGTTGAATTAGTAACAATATTTTAGTTAGAAAATACAGCATTTGCTTATAAAACAACTTCTTTAAAGAAGGAGGATTCCTGGCCGGGCTTGGTGGCTTAGCCTGTAATCCCACCACTTTGGGAGGCCTAGGTGAGTGGATTGCCTGAGCCCGCAGGTTTGAGACTGGCCTGAGCAACTTGGCAAGACCTCGTCTCTACAATAAATCAAAAATTAACTGGGTGTGGTAGCGCATGCCTGTGGTTCTGGCTACTTGGAAGGCTGAGGCGGAAGGATCGCTGGAGCCCAGCAAGTCGAAGCTGCGGTGGCCGGGAGTGGCCACTGCCCTCCAGTCTGGGTGACAGAGTGAGACTCCAACTCAAAAAAAAAAAGAAAGAGGATTTCTGAAACCAGCTTCTTGGTTATAACTATGTGGTTCATTTATTTTAATTTTTTAAAATTTCAATACTAGTTACATTAAAAACTACCACCTTATTTAAAGTATACTTTGGAGAGTATACTTTAAATAAAGTGATTTATCATTTTGTGTTACATTATTTCTTTCTTTAAATGAAAGATGTACCGCAAACAGATTGCAATGATACTAGGTAATTAACTTATGCCCAGGTAGTAGGTGGTTGAATAATGAAAATTTTAATACCTGATCTGTCCTGTTTAAATATTATTGAATGTTCCTTTAAGAATTAGTATCTTTTCTTTTTTTTTTTTTTGAGTTGGGGTCTCATTCTGTTGCCCAAGCTGGAGTGTAGTGGCATACTCATGACCACCCCAGCATCGACCTGCTGGGCTCTGGCGATCCTTCCACCTCAGCTTTCCAAGTAGCTGGAACTACAGGTGTGCACTACCATGCGTGGCTAATTTTTTTTTTTTTAATTTATTGTAGAGACGAGGTCTCGCCAAGTTACCTAGGCTGCTCTCAAACCCACGGGCTCAGGCAGTCCATTTGCCTTGGCCTCCCAAAGTGCTGGGATTATAGGCTGAGCCACCAAGCCCGGCCCAGTATCTCTTTTTTATTTCCAGGGACAAATTTGGAAATTTTTTTTAAAGGAAGCCTATGTTACTAAGTCTCTGCCAGTCCAAATTTGGTAAACTCAAGATTTAACACTCAGAGAATACTAAGCCCATTCTTCACACAATCTGATATGCTTTGACCTTTACTATTTGCCCTTTCTAGCTTCTTTTCACTACCTTCTTACATTAATTCTTTTTTTCAATTCAAACTGATTTATTTATTGCTCTCTTACATTCTTTTGTTTGGGGGTCTACTTTTTCTTGTTTCTTTGTTTACTGTTACCTTCTTTCCCAACCTTACATAAAACTCTTTTTTTTTTCAAATTAGAGCCTCACTCTGTGACTCAGTCTGGAGTGCAGTGGCACACAGTTAACACTGACCTACTGGGCTCAGGTGGTCCTTCCACCTCAGCCTTTCAAGTAGCTGGAACTATAAGTGCATGCTACCACATCCAGCTAGTTTCTTGATTTATTCTAGGGACGAGGTCTCACCAAGTTGTCTAGGCTGGTCTTGAGCCCCTGGATTTAAGCAATCCTCTTGCCTCCGCCTCTCAAAGTGCTGGGATTACAGGTGTAAGTCACTGTGCCCGGCTCATAAAACTTTCTTTGAACCCTAGTCCAGGTCTTCCTGTCCCCGTGAATTCCAGTTCATCTACTTCATTCCTGCAAAATACCTTTCACCTCTAGATATATCTACTCCTGTGGAACAGATTTCAAATATAATAAGTCCTCACTTAATATGTTTGGTAGGTTCTTGGAAGCTGTGACTTTAAGCAAAACTGAATGCCACAGGAACTTAATTAACTGAATGTACTGAATGCCACAGGAACTTAACTCTTGTTTATATATCAATTAACCTGTGATAAAATTGGTGTCATCATACAGTACATCATTTTGCTTAAAGTCACAGTTTCCAAGAACCTATTGATGGCATTAAGGGAAGACTTATTGCACTTATGCTACCTTGCACTAATTATTCACGTGTATGGTATCTATCTCTTATTCTCCCAACTAGATTATATACTTCTTGGAGGCAGGAGTTATCATTTAATCTTCATGTTCCTCAAATCTATTTCTTTTACTGTGGTAAACACTCATTAATTATTTATTGTGTATCTACTACATACCAGGCACTGTACAAAGTGAGGACATAACACTGATGGAAAGAAATAGTTTCTGCCTTCAGAAATCATTCAGTTAATGAAAGAGACAGGCAAATAAATGATTGCATTACAGTGTAGTAAACACCTAACAGGAATGAATAAGGTGCTGTGGGTACACTGAAGGTTAATGTTACAGTTAAGAATTAATGTTACAAATATATCTGCATAATTTCAGGACTGTGATTATTAGGTACTAAGAGAAAGAAAGCAGGAAAGACACTGTTTTATTTCTTATTTTTATAATTTACTCAGATATGAACAGTAGTCCTATAACTTGACCATCACAGTTGTGATCTGTTAAAAAGTAAACAGAAACATTATATGAAACTGTTTATTGATAAACTATAAGTAGATTGATTTAATAAGATAAGTAGATACTTTTTGCCAGATAACCTCAGATAATAATATAAATATAAACCTGATTACTAATGTGTTGTGACATGGTTATAAGCTGAATTTCACATACAGTAGCAAACTTTCTAAACATATGGGCAAATTAAATTTTTAAGCTTATTATGGGCAAATTAAATACAAAAAAAAGAGAGTAATAGAATAAATGCCAGTGTACCCACCATCTAGCTTCAATAGTGATTGACATGCTGCCTTTTTTGTTTCATTTGTACTTTTATCCACTCCTCATCCCCTGCTTCATTTTGCTTTACGCTCTTTGTAAGGTAAACTTTATATACATTAGAATGCTTAGACATTAACTGTCTAGTTGTGACAAATGGGTATATCGATTTAGCCCATATCCCAATCCTAATAATGATTATTGAGCATTCAGTCTTCACAGAAAAGTTCTTCATTTTTCTTTTCACTCATTTACCATATCCTGACCACTGTTCTAAGTTTTTTTCCCCCTTACATTAGTTCCTGCCCTGCTTTGTGTCCAGATAATCCTAGGTGCTTTCTCCTCTTCTTGATTCCACTCACCTGTGGGTCAATTTAATTATATTACTAGAGTGAAGTAAAATTCTTTTGTTGTTTACAATGTTTTGAGATACTACCATTTGATGACATATAATTGCAGGGAGTTGTCTTAAATATATTTCCTTATATCTAACCTCAAATTAGGAATCTTTATATCCCAGGAATACTTTAATTTCAGAGTGTAATTGGAAATGATTACCTTAGTCCTAGTAGCTTTTCTTGTATTACCAGCAAACTTATTGTAATTACTTGTTTTTTTCAGATGAAACAGTTCCTCCTACTTTATTGGATACAAAGTGGAATAAGATTCTAGATCCCCCTTCTCACCGACTTTCATTTAACCCTGCATTGGCCAGTGTGAATGAACCTGCAGTTTCTAATGAGTCCCAACAACAACTGAAAGTCTTCTCCCTGGCTCATTCAGCAACCTTGACCACAGAGGGAGAGGCTCATTGTGCTAATGGACAGGACTGTAGTCTAAATCCAGAGATTGCCACAATGTGGATTGATGAAAATGCAGAAGATCAATTAATTAAGAAAAACTATAATCAGGATGATCAATGCAGTGTTGTTGAAGTGGGAGAGAAGAAAAGTGGAAACCTGGCTTGTCTGCCAGATGAGAAGAATGTTCTTGTTGTAGCTGTCATGCATAACTGTGATAAAAGGACATTACAAAGCGATTTGCAGGATTGTAATAATTATAATAGTCAATCCCTTATGGATGCTTTTAGCTGTTCACTGGATAATGAAAACAGGCAAACTGATCAATTTAGTTTCAGTATAAGTGGGTCCACTGAAAAACATATGAACTCAGAGAAACAAATGGATCCATTGAATAGACCAAAATTGGAGAGAGATTCTGTTAACCATCTATGTACTACTTCATCTGATTATCTAACCAGTATCTGTTCCCCTTCACAGTTAAAGGATAATGAAAATATAGGTGGAGGCCCCTCCTTGTCTGCAATTGCAAATTTAACAGTTGATTCAGTAATCTCATCCCAGGGAGATGATAGTCCTGCTGTTAAAAAGCAAGAGAACTGTGTACCAGATGAGGACCTCACTGGCAAAAACATCTCTCCTAGGACAGATCTAGGGAGTCCAAACTTTTCCCACTTGGGTGAGGAGATTTTGACAATAAAAGAGCCAGCAGAAGAGAGAACAATGGAAGAATCCCTCCAGTCTGGTTTACCTTTGCTTCTCAAACCAGATATGCCTATTGGATCTGAAAGGGATAATAATTGTGAACAGTTTTCAGATTGTCTTGCGCCTAGTGAAGTTAGGGCTGATGAAAATGAAAGTTATGAACATGAAGACATTCTTGGCACTACAGAATGTCTTAATATGACAGAGCATTTCTCTGAATCTCAGGAGATGACTAATTGGAAATTGAGTAAACTAAATGAGATGAATGATAGCCAAGTAAATGAAGAAAAGGAAAAGTTTCTACAGATGAGTCATTCTGAGGACACTAATAATGACAGTAGAGGAAAGTGTGTTGGAATAACAGATGCAGGCCTAGATTTAAAAGGAACTTGCATGAGTGAAAGTGAAGGATGTGATTTCTCCACTGTTATAGATACACCAGCAGCAAATTCTCTATCTAATGGTTGTGATTCCTATGGAATGCAGAGCCCAGGTGTTTCTTTTGTTCCAAAGACTTTACCCTCCAAAGAAGATTCAGTCACAGAAGAAAAAGAAATAGAGGAGAGCAAGTCAGAATGCTACTCAAATATTTATGAACAGAGAGTAAATGAGGCCACAGAAGGGAGTGGACTTTTAAACAGCACCGGTGACCTAATGAAGAAAAATTATTTACATAATTTCTGTAGTCAAGTTCCGTCAGTGCTTGGGCAGTCTTCCCCCAAGCTAGTAGCAAACCTGCAATCTATCAGTGTTCCTTTTGGTGGTGCAAGACCCAAGCAACCTTCTAATCTTAAACTTCAAATTCCAAAGCCATTATCGGATCATTTACAAAATGACCTTCCTGCAAACAGTGGAAATAATATTAAAAACAAAAATGATATTCTTGGGAAAGCAAAACTAGGGGAAAACTCAGCAACCAATGTATGCAGTGCATCTGTGGGAAACATCTCTATTGCTGATACAAATGGGGAACATTTAGAAAGTTATGAGGCTGAGATCTCCAGTAGACCGTGCCTTGCATTACCTCCAGATAGTCCAGATAATGATCTCAGAGCTGGTCAGTTTGGAATTTCTGCTAGAAAGCCATTTACCACTCTAGGTGAGGTGGCTCCAGTATGGGTACCTGATTCTCAGGCTCCAAATTGCATGAAATGTGAAGCCAGGTTTACATTCACCAAAAGGAGGCATCATTGCAGAGCATGTGGGAAGGTAAGTTGCATATATAGGCTCAGAATTCTGCTATGTACATTTTGTAATGCTCAATTAGAAATTAATAAAGGCAATATAAGAGAAACATACTTCTGGTTGAGAGGACATTTATAAATAGCTTTTGAAAACCCAATTCTAATAAATTTGTATATAAGAATGGTCTTGTTGATTCCTAGACAGTATGTATAATCATGTTTTTGCCAAGATTTATATCTAATAAGTTTTCACGAAGAGATGAGAATTGAGGAAGTATTCACTTTGTGGTTTCTATATTGATAGATACTTGGTTACTGTAATAGTTTGAAATAAGGAAGTTATTTTTTCAGTTTAGGAAATTTTTGTCTTTGACTTAATTTTTTATTTTATTTTTATTTGTTTATTTTTGAGTCGGAGTCTCACTCTGTTGCCCAGGCTGGAGTGCAGTGTCAGGCTCACAGCCACCGCAGCCTCGACCTGCTGGGCTTAGGTGATCCTTCTGGCTCAACCTTCCAAGTCGCTGGAACCACAGGCATATGCCACCATGCCTGGCTCATTTTTTTGGTTTATTGTAGAGATGAGGTCTCGCCATGTTGCTCGGGCTGGTCTCGAACCCCTGAGCTCAGGTAATTTTCTCGCCTCCGCCTCCCAAAATGCTAAGGATTACAGGATTGAGCCACCACACCCAGCTTAATTAATTAATTATTTCTGAGTTGAAGTCTCACTCTGGAGTGCAGTGACAGGATCATAGCTCACCACAACCTTGGCCTCCTGGGCTCAAGAAATGCTCTCTCCTCAGCCTTCAGAGATACAAACACGTGCCACCATGCCCCGCTAATTTTTTGATGTTTTGTAGATACAAGTTCTTGCTGTGTTGCCAGGCTGGTCTTGAACTCCTGGGCTCAAGCATTCTTCCCACCTCAACCTCCCAAAGTGTTAGGATTACAAGCATGAGTCACCACACCCGGCCTGAGTTTATATTTTTTTTTAACTCTTGAGAAACTGAATATTACACTTAGAATCCATCTCACTTCTTTCACGTCTTTTTATTTTATTTTATTTTATTTTTGTTTTTTTTTTGAGTTGGAGTCTCACTCTGTCGCCCAGACTGGAGTGCAGTGGCCGCTCCTGGCCACCGCATCCTCGACCTGCTGGGCTCTGGTGATCCTTCCGCCTCAGCCTTCCAGGTACCTGGAATTACAAGCATGCGCTACCATGCCCGGCTGATTTTTTGATTTATTGTAGAGATGAGGGCTCGCTGCCCAGGCGGGTCTTGAACCTGCGGGCTCAGGCAATCCACTCACCTCAGCCTCCCAAAGGCGTGGGATTACAGGCTGAGCCACCGAGCCCCGCTTTTTCACGGCTTTTTAAAAAAAATTTTAGATTCAGTAGGTACACATGTGTATTCGTTGCATATTGTATAGTGGTGGGGATTGGATCTCAGGTGGCTCATTTACCAAACAGTGAACATTGTGCCCCATAGGTAGTTTCTGAACCCTAACTGCCTTTTCCTCTCCCCACTTTTTGTTGTTCCCACTGTCTGTCATTTTCTTCTTTGTGACTGCTTAGTTCCCACGTTTTAGGGAGAGCATGTGGTGCTTGGTTTTCTTCTTCTGAGTCAGTTCACTTAGGATGATGATCTCTTGCTCAATTCAAGTTGCTGCAAAGGACATGATTTCATTCTTTTTTATGTTTGCATAGTATACCATGATGTATATATACCACATTTTCATTATCCACTGATCGGTTGATAGGCATTTAAGTTGATTCCACATCTTTGCAATTGTGGGCTGTGCTGCGATGAACATGCAGGTGCAGGTGTCTTTGTTATGTTATGACCTCTGTTCCTTAGGGTAGATACCTAGTAGTGGGATTGCTGGATCAATTGGGAGATCTACTTTTAGTTTCTTTGGTTAATCTCCATATTACTTTCCAAAGAGATTGTACTAATTTACGCTCCCACCAACTGTGTAAGTGTTCTCTTTTCTCCACATTTGACTTTTTTCTGTTGGATTTTTGCTTTTGTATTAGACGTTCTGGAACTTTTTAGACACATACACTTATATTTTTTTCTTTTCCCCCTTATAACTTGATACAAAGTAAGAGTTGATGGCTATAGATCCTTATGACAAGATTGTAAGAATAATTGATATTCCTTAGCTCTCCCCAAATTCTGTTAGCTAATAATACATCAACTTACTAGTTTGTTTTTCTTTAATAAGGAGGAAAGGGGATTTTATATTTTTCAAAAGCATGTAAGGTTTGATGTCAGGTTTGATTCAAATTTCAGCTTTGTGACTATCAATTATATAACTTTACTAAGCCTTGATTTTCTAATCTATAAAAACAAACAAACAAAAACAATAATTTTCATTGGGCTGTTGTAAAGATTCAATGAGATTGTAGAAGTCACAGTAAGTGCTCAATGATTAATCTCTACCTCCCATCTCACCGGATTTATTGATCTGTCTGTAATGATTAGGATGCTTTCAACTTCAAGAAACAGAGTATCTAACCCTCAATTACTTAGATAAAAATAGGATTTATTTTGCCCAACAAGAAGCTATAAGACTCAGTGATTTGTGTCTGCGTGCAAGGTCAGGATCATCGAAGTTCCTTGGTCTTGCCCCATGGTCTCAGGTAGCTCATCTCTAAGTATCAACTCTAACCTGACAGCTTCCTAAGCACAATAAAAATGGCTAGCGGGCAGGAGAGCCTACTACTCTTGCCACCCTCTTATCAGAGAGGAAAGATCCCCAGCAGCTTCCTTCAATTTATTGACTAGTTCTAGACTACAACCAGTTATTGGCAAAGGGGAATAGACTTGCCAGTATTGGCTGATCAATCATGATTTATCTTTTGGGGCTGAGCACATTGTTGCCTGAACATAAGTGGAATTCTGTTAACAAAGTAGAGGGGGGAAGTAGCAGATATGTAGAATGAACAAGTCTAGAGATCTAATGTACAACATAAGGACTATAGGTAATAAAATTGTGCTGTATTTGGGATTCCTGCTAAATGAGTGGATTTTAACTGCTTATGCCACAAAAACAAAAATAGGTAACTATGTGAGATGATAGATATGTTAATTTGCCTCGCTGTTGTAACCTTTTTAATATCTATATGTATCTCATCACATCATGTTGTATACTTTAAATATGCACAGTAAGGCTGGGCTTGGTGGCTCAGCCTGTGAATCCCGGCACTTTGGGAGGCTGAGGCAAGTGGATTGCTTGAGCCCATGGGTTCGAGACCAGCCTGGGCAACTTGGTGAGATCTTGTCTCTACAATAAATAAATAAATAAAAAATTAAATATACACAGTAAAATTTATTTAACAAAAAAAGAAGAGGGGGAAACAGTTTCCAGGCAGGCAGTCAGCAAGGTTTACTAGAAGGTCCTAGCACAAAAGAACCAAATGATGAAGCAAAATGAAGCTAAAGTTGAGACTGGACTACTGGTCTCTGTTAAAGTTTGAAGAAAATAATGTGTGTAATTCCTTATATTTTGCATTCTTTTTTCTTTTTTAGCTGAAGGGAATTAGGTTAGTCATTTTTATGTTGTTCTATGTTTTAGTTACAGTGTGTAACATTTAATGAAATTTTTGCTTTCTTAAGCAAATAATAAAAACATTTTTGGTACAGGCCAGCATATCCAGGCATAATGAATAAATAGCTACCTTAAGTGGATTCAGAAATAAAATGGTGCCAAAATGCATATCAGTTGCAAAATTAGATGGAATTTTTTCCTGAGTAGAATTTGTGGAATTTATGCATTTATGGATTCATAGGATTATGGGTTCATAATTTCATCTTTTTTCCTATCTCCATGTAAGTCAGAGATGTTATAAGGATTGATGAGATAATGTCTAAAAAAATCCTTGAGCTTCTCAGAAGAAAAGGGCTTATAAACATAGGTATATGTGTACTTTTTCTAGGTAATAATCAGATTATACTGAAAACGTAACTAGAAAGATACTCTAGGCAATGTGATTTTGTAAAATAATGCTATATGTTGAAAAAGAAACTTAATTTGTTTCATTCTAGTCTAGTAGAAATTAAGCATATCTATTAATTACTTAGTATCAACAGCTAGATTCCCGTTACTACTGCAGGCATATATTAAGAATGTACTAGCCAGGTGTGGTGGCCCGTGCCTGTAGTTCCAGCTACTTGGAAGGCTGAGGCGGAAGGATCGCCGGAGCCCAGCAGGTTGAGGCTGTGGTGGCCAGGAGTGGCTACTGCACTCCAGTCTGGGAGACTGAGTGAGACTCCCAACTCAAAAAAAAAAAAAAAAAAAAAGAACGTACTAATATATGAATAGTTCTAAGCTAAGTATTGGGGATTCAGAGGTATATAAATTGAAATTTATGATCTGGAATTTATAATCAAGGACACTGATTTCAGTGAGTGGGGAGAGGAGTGTCTGAATTTCTTAGAGTTTTTTAAAGATCCAAAAAGCAAATTGTGAACCACTGATCTGATTAAACAGACCATTGCATCCCACAGCAAATTGCAATACAGTATATTGAGAGTGCCAATTATGTGTGTTTTATTTTAATTTGCATTTGGTCCTCATCAAAGTCTTGTAGAATGGGTGTTATTTTTTTCTATTTAACATCAAGAAGAATCTGAGCCTCTTCAGAAATGTCAATAAATATGCCCAAGGTCACAGTTTATCAGCGCAAGAGCCAACTTTAAAGCTAGTACTTCAATTATACAGCTTTTCACAGCTTACCTCCTCATTCAGACTAGCAATAGGAGCAATATACTTTAGGGACATTGAGGAATGAAAGATTAGCTTTTCCAAGAATAGCAGAGGGATTCAGGAAAGTCAGTATACACAAAGGGACTACGTTTTATATGAATTTTGTTTATGTAAACCTTGAAACAAAGTTTTCTGGAACAAAATTCTAAAGTATATGAGAAAAATGGGATCATGTCAGAGCATAGCTGGAGAGTTAACTGTAGGAAAAAGGAAATAAATTCATTTACATAAGAATGAGTTAAGAAAAATGCTTGAATA